AGATCCAAAGTGATTATTCCCAAGGATGCACCACATCCTGAAATTGATGTACATATTTAAGTTGGACACATTACTGTCATGTACACGCTTTAAACTGGCTCCCCACTTTATATACTGTATATACTATTTATATACTCCTACTATATAGTATGAGTATTGTACATTCTAATATTGTTAAAACTTTTATACCACAGTACTTTGTTAGTGAAATACGTCACCTCTGTATATTTTACAATATATTCACATCAAAAACTGAAAATGGGATTTTGTGAAAATCGCCTTGAGGGGGATTTTTCCCACGCTATAAAAACATACAATAACATTACATACTGGAATATAACCATTAACGGAAGATATGAGGAGATTTAACATGTCTGCTCAGACTGTTTGATTGACAGGTAAGGCTCATCATGATCTTATTATTATTAAAACTGACTTCATCATTACATACAGATTTGACAGAAACAAAAGCATTAGCAATAATACTATAACCTTAAAATACGCTTTAATGTAATTTTCTTTGTATGGAATTCAAAGTGAAACTAAAGAAATCTGTTGCTTTATTTAAATTAATTTGACTTTTATTGTTTATTCTTAAAATCTCTCAAAATACTTCTACAATTTAAGCACGTACCCTCATAAAATATTCTTACAATGCAAATACCAAGGTACTGATTTATTACCATATTGAGCGATCAAAAACATAAGAACGTTTCTCTAACGTTCCCATTCAGTTATGGAAACGCTGTTTCTGAATGTTCTCCAAACGATCAAAACGTCCGTTTTTAAATTTAAAATTTATTTTTTAAAGTTTTTAATGGTTATTCAAATGTTAAGGCAATGTTCCTTTGTATCATTTTGGATACATTTTCGTTACTTTAGAATGTTCTCTGAACGTTCTGAAACTAGTAACATTTAAAAAACGTTAAATTAACTAAAATGTTTCCAAAAAAAGTTTGTACGCTCGCTCGCAGGAGGTGGTTCTGTTTTTTTTCCATTGCTTCGCTAAAGATACACATCTACGTCTCCTTCGATTAAAATGAATGGCTAGTGCGGTGGCTGCGATATATACGTAAACCTACCAACATCCGTCGCCATGACTTCTCGC